TTAAAATAAGATCTACTATGCTCTGTTCTGCAAATTTTGCACCTAATTCATTCACCCAAATCTTCAGAGTTCAGCTGCAGGCAATCAACACACAGAAGCAAAGCATCTTTTGATTGCATATCTTGAAGAATTAATAAAAACCATTTAGGTTAAAATAATAAAAAAAAACTCCATACAGAACATAAACTAATATGCAAAGATCCTAAGGTAAATAAATGAAATGCTAAGTGTTTTTAAATGCATGTTGTGTCACATTAATTGATCATAATAACAGTTTATTAGGCACCAATGTTTTTGTTGGTTTTTGTTATTGTTGTTGTTGTTTAAATTTTTTTTTTATGTTTGGGGGCCACACCTGAGTTCTGGTGGTGGTTAAGGGAACCATATGCATTACCTAGTCAAGTCAAACATCTACTCTCTGTCCTCTCCAACTCGTTACTTTTTTTTTTTTTTTGCTTTTTTGGGTCACACCCGGTAGTTCACAGGGGTTACTTCTTGTTCTGCACTCAGGAATTACCCCTGGCGGTGCTCAGGGGACCCTATGGGATGATGGGAATAGAACCTGGGTCGGCCGCGTGCAAGGCAAACGCCCTACCCGCTATGCTATTGCTCCAGCCCCTCATTACTGTTTGTGAGGAACAATATAGCAACTTCAGAGTGTAGCATGTAAGTGGTAAAAGTATAGTTTTGCACATTTTTCTTATACATGTCAACGAGGTTGCCATGTAAAATGTGTTTCCTACTGTATGCTGTGATTAGGATTATTTGAAATACACTCAGAAAGATAGAATTACTGGAGAACAGGGAGTAGAAAGGGAACCTCCTAAGATGGAAGAGAGATTGGCAGGATCTACATACAGTACAGGACATTAATTGTTTTTGGTTTTGGAGAACTCTCTAGCAGTGTTCAGGGGCTACTCTTGACTCATTGTCTGGGGGCAGGGGTCACTATCAGCAGTATTTGGGGGGACCATGCAGTGCCCGGGATCATATCTGTGCACCTGCATCAAAGCTAGGTACATGGTCAGCCTTTTGAGCTGTCTCTATGTCCAAGACTTTGGATCCACGTACACTAAAAAACCTTGGAAAACACTTGACAATGGCCCTAGAGCAGAAAAAGGATCACAGGATCCTAGTTAAAGCCCTTTCACCACCGATGGTTACCCCAAGCACCAGCAGGAGGGCATTCCTGAGCACAGAGCCAAGAATAGCCCTTGAACACTGCAGAGTGTACTCCCGTTCACCACCACCCCAAATTAAAACAGACTGAAAAAAAACCCAAAATCCTAATAGCAATAAAGAAGATCAAGTTTGTCTTTTCTCCACATCTTTCTTGGCTTTTTGTTTTTGGGGGTGGGTGGGTGGGAGGTGGAAGGGGGCAGTTGGGCCACACCCTGCATGGTGCTTCAGGGCTACTCCTGGACTTGTGATCGGGGTCACTCTAGGTGATGTTTGAGCGACCATGTGATGTTGAAGATGGAACCTGGTGATCCAACATGCAAGGCCTGCACTCAGTCCTCTGAGCTATCTTTGTAACCCTTCATTCCTTTATAAGCATCTTTTAATGGTTTTAGTCTCTCTAGTTACCTGCCATCAGGTCTTTCTCAGGTCAGATTTACTTTTTTCTTTTGAATGGGTCATATATTCTGTTTCTTTGTGTATCGTGTGATTTTTTGTTTTGTTTGGGGTTTTGGTTTTTGGGCCACACCTGGCGATGCACAAGGTTTACTTCTGGCTCTGCACTCAGAATCACTCCTGGTGATGCTTGGGGACCATATTCCCATGGCATCAAATTCAGGTCCCCCATATGCAAGGCAAGTGTCCTACCTGCTGTACTATCTCTCTGGCCTCCAGGTGATCAAAAAAAATTGGGGGTGGGGTAAAGAGGCAGTACAGTAGACAGGGTACTTGCCTTGCATGTGACTGACCCAGATTTGATTCCTGGCACCCCATGTGGTCCCCTGAGCACCATCAGGAATGCTGCCTGAGCATCACTGCCTGTGGCCGAAAAGAACACCAACAAAAACTCTACAACAAATTTTTATAATTTGTTTCGAAACCACAACTATCAGTGCTGGGAGGCTATTTGGTTTGGTGCTTGGGGATTGTTCCTGGGTGGTGCTCAGGGATCATGAGGTGGTAGGGAGTAAACCCAAGACCCCAGTATGTAAAGCCTGTGCTCCAGTTCTTTGAGTATCTCCCTGGTCCCAAGTTGTGTTTAAGTTTCTCTTCCCTTTTCCTTTCCTTTCCTCTTTCCTGTTGTCATTGTTGATCATCCAGGGTTGCACTTAGGCTTGACATCAGGTTGCAGTGCACACTTGGCTTCAATGCTCATCACACATGATGGCCAAAGCTCACACTCCTAGCTGTTTCAGGATAGGGTTGTGGCGCTCACACAAGTACTCCCTAGAAGCTGCACTTCAAGGTCATAGAACTCATGCTTTTCTTTTGGGGCCATACCTGGTGGGGCTGGAGCAATAGCACAGTGGGTAGGGCGTTTGCTTTGCATGCAGCCGACCCGGGTTCGATTACTCTGCCCCTCTTAGAGAGCCCAGCAAGCTACCGAGAGTATCCCACCCGCAAAGCCTCGCAAGCTCCCCATGACGTATTTGATATGCCAAAAACAGTAACAACAAGGCTCACAATGGAGACGTTACTGGGCCCGCCTGAGCAGATCGATGAACAACAGGAGGACAGTGCTACAGTACTACTTGGTGGTGCTCAGGATTTAATCCTGGCTCAGCACTCAGCAATCACTCCTGGCAGTGCTCAGGGGATTATATGGAGTGCTTGGAATCAAACCCAGATGGTCTGCATGCAAAGCAAGCGCCCTACCTGCTGTACTATCACTCTGGCTCTGGAATTTATACTTTTCAGTTGTGCTACCCTCCAGGGGTTGCATCCCATTTCTGTGGTACAACTGGGAATTGCCTGTGGTAGGTATCACAGAGAACAGTGCTCCCTGGACCACACTTAGCACATGTGGGACATCAGGGTTTGAATCCATTACTATGTGGTTGCAAAACAGCCACCGTAAACTATGTCCTATTTCCCCAAGTCCTGTGATTCTTTTGATTGCCACTGTTAAAAACTGGGCAGTTTAATCTAAAAATGTGGGACTCCAGAAATCAGATTTGTTCTTCCCTAGGGTTTGCTGGATTTGGTTTGTTCTGTTAGTTTTGCCTTTTTGATTGTTGCAAGCCATTTCTGTGCTGAGGATAAGCCAGAGGTATGAATTTAAGATTTCAGGTCTTTTCCTATCCTTTCTCTGGGTATGCCTGGTCACTTCTAGTTTTCCTCATGTACATTTTTAAATGTCCTAGTCTTTAATATCTATCTTTCAAGGGGGTAGGGAATAGGGTTGTGTTCGAAGGGCACCAGCCCTTTAAATCCAGTGGAAATCACCTTAGCAGGAAGAAGAGCTTGTAGCAGTGCCTTGAGGTGCAACAGTGGTGCCAGTTCTTATATCTTGGTGAATGCAGCAGGACAAATCCTCCAAATTTGCACACAGGGTCCTTTTTTCTTACCTCATCACCAAACTGTGTACAGATGGCTCCAGGGTCATGTGCATAGCTGCCTGCCACATGACTGGAACTGATGAAAATAAACCACATTTCAGTGTCTAAATCTTCCTGGCATTTTGCGTTCGGTAAGTTAAGAGTTCCAAAATAGTTATTATAGTTAGACATAATCTGTTAGTGCAGTAGATTAGTGTTGAGATTCCCGGTGCTTCCTTTCTGCCAAATCCTTTCTTAAAACTTCTTATAGTTTTAGTTTATTTTGAAAATAAAAACAGCCAAAGCGATAGTACAGAGGGTAAGGTGCTTGCCTTGCATACTGCTGACCCCGGTTCAATCCCCAGCATCCCATATGGTTGCTTGAGCACTGGTAGAAGTGATTTCTGAGTGCAGAGACAGGAGTAACTCCTGAGCATCACTGGATGTGGCCACTCCACCCCCCAAATATAAAACAAAAGAAAAACAGGGGCTGGAGAGATAGTACGTGTATAGGGCCCTTGCGTTGCACTCTGACCCACTTTGATCCCCAGCACCCCATATGGCCCCAGGAGCCTGTCAGAAGTGATCCCTGAGCAGAGGGCCAGGGGTAAGTCCTGAGTACTGCTGGGTGTGACACAAAATTAAATTAATCCCCCTCCCCCAAAATGTATTTATTGTTTATATTGTTAGGAGGAAACACTCAGCAGTGTCTAGGGTCAAGGATCAAACCCAGGGCCTTGCATATGCAAGATGTGTTCCACCAACTGAGCCTCATTCCTCCCCCTATAACTGATAAATTTCCATTCATAGTGTTTAGGGTTTTTTTTTTCATTCATAGGATTTCATTATAACTCTAAGTATTTTCTAATTGGCCCGCTCATGACTTCTTTGATCAATGAATTAGTTAAAGCATGTTGGGGCTGGAATGATAGCATAGTGGCTAGGGAGTTTCCCCTGTACGTGGCTGACCTGGGTTTGATTCCCAGCATCCCATATGGTCTCTCGAGTACTACCAGGAGTAATTTCTGAGTGTATGAGCCAGGAGTAAGCCCTGTGCATTACCGTGTGTGACCCAAAAAGAAAGGGGGGGGGGCGGGAAGCATGTTTAACAATTTCCAAACAAGATCTTTTTTCCTTAATGTTATTTTTCTTGAATTATGTTGTAGACCATACTATACAGTCCATGATATTGCTTCTTTGACATTTGTATTTATAAATGTTTCATATATGTTTGAGAAGAGTTAGATATTCCTTAACTGTTGGGTAAATATTACTAAATATATTAAATTTAAAAAATAGAAAATGTTATCAATCTATAACAATTACTGACTGAATTGGTAGTCAGATGATAGTTGAAAACAAACAAAGGAATTACATCCTTTGTTCTGCATTTAGGAGATTTGGCAGGCTTTTTTTTGGGGGGAGGGGTGTTGAGTAAAATAGAAACAAAAGCTATAAGCAGTCTGTAGAAACTAGAAAAAGAAAATTACAATATGCTTTTGGTAGAAGTCATTTGACATACATATTTATTTTATATCTTTAAAAAGCAGAATCACAGTAATTTTCTCAATTGAATCATTCTAAAAAGACTGAAATTGAGCATGCTTAGTTTGTTTTGGAAATTTCTAAAGAGCTGCCTGATAGTAGCTTAGGAAGCTTCTTCCTTCTGCACCAGGCTCTCCTGTTCTTTAGGAGGATCTGGGGATGTCGGTCACAACTGATGCTGAGTAAACAACTCAAGATTGAGGTAGTCAAGCCCTTTCACTTTCTACCATGGACAACAGGGTGACTTGGCTTACTCTTTATCATTGAGGGCCCTATTAAGTTAGCAGACAGAGAGTGGAGGGAAGTTTCTATTGTTAGAGAATTTCCAAAGTTAGAAATTGATGAATTGAAGAGTTTAATTGTGCAGTCCCTTCCTCTGTTGATATGCAAGCAATGGATATCAGATTTTTGACACACTGATATGTCACTTTAATAAGCTCAGTTCCTTGATTATAATGTGTTGGAAAACTATCTTTGGGTAGACAAGAGTTGTTTATTTCAATGATGTTGCTGAAAGTAGAAAATCAAAGCTGTGAACAGCTGGACATATCTCTTCCTTTCGAAAATCAATGATCACAACACTCCTTTCAGTTTTATAGTCCATGCAGAGGTGACCGGGAGAATAGGGGGTGTTTTGTGAGGCAGATTGATGATGAGACCAGAAGTGGAGTCTCTGGTCCATTTCACTTGTTTTTTGACTCCCAGTAGTTTTACCTGCAGAGAGCAGAAGGGAAATTGAAATAATATGAATGCATTAATGAGTACAGAATAGAACCAGAACATGGAGGGGCAGGGATGGATATCTAAGGAATCAAATAAGGACCAGGGATGGAACACAGTGGTAGAGTGCTTGCCTGGCATGTGTGAAAGCCGAAGTCTAATTCTCAGTACTGCAAAAATAAATAAATAAAATAAAAGGGAATGAATATGGTGAAACCTGGAGTAGAAAGAAACAAAGAAAGAGACCTGCTGATACCTTAGTAAAAAATTAAATCTCAGGGCTAGAGATATGGCTCAGTGGAAAAGCACATGCCCTGCATGTGTGAGGCCTGGGGTGGGAGATGGGGGTGGTGGTGGTGGAGAGGTGGAGGGGGAGAAAGAGGATGAGGATGAGGAGGGATAATAAATAAATAAATAATATCAGAAAGGACTGAATCTTTTTACCTCTGTGCTTGAGGTAACTTTGGGGGATTCTAGTTGTAAGATTCCACCTTTTGGCCACTGCAGGAAAATGGCATAAACATCTGATTTTTTTGAGGTGTACCTAGATGGAAAGAAAAAGATCATTGTCAAAGACACCTGGCTTGTCACCTTGACACAAACTTACATATTTTGTAATCTCTTTTTTTAAATCCATTAACCCCAAATCCTTGACCCTCCTAGTGCTACTAGGAAATGCCACATGTTTGTGCCAGTTAGGCCTGCAGGAAGGAGATGCTCTCGGAGACTCTTTTCAGTGCTGTCTTTTAGTTGGGGATGTGTGTTTCCATTAGAATTCGTTTATTTGATTGGGTCTGAGTGATACCTCAAAGGACTGAGACAGGCTTTGCATGTTGGGGCCTGCGTTTGATCCCCAGGACTACATGGTTCCCTGAGCACCATCAAGAATAACCCCTGAGCACAGAGCAGGAGTAGCCCCTGACCACCACCAGGTGTTCCCTCTCCCCATTTTATTCATATTAACATTTTAACTCTAGCTGAAAAGATAGTACAGCAGGTAGGGCATTTGTCTTACATGCAGCCCACCCAGGTTTGATCCCTGGCATCCCGTATGTTCCCCTGAGAACCCCCAAGAGTGATTCCTGAGTGCAGAGCCAGGAGTAACCCCTGAGCATCACCAGGTATGGCCACAAAACAAGAACAAACACAACCAAAAAATTTTTTTTAATTCTTGAAAAAGAATGGAAGCTATACCTGCACTCCTATAGCATCAAAGCAAAGAATACATAAACCTATGAAAGGTGTCTCTGTGAAAATCCAGTGGAGAAAACAGCCATCATCTCGGGGAGACTCAACCCTACAGAACACAGAATTCTGGGCAAATCTGGACTTAAGGAATGCTTCTTCTGGGTGGAGGGATGGGAGAAGCAGAGACAGAAAAAGATCAGTGACTGGCAAGCTGGTACAGACATAGAATGCCAACCTAAGGCAGAAAGGTACTGAATGCACAGGACTTCCAGATCTTCAGTTTTATTGCAACACGTGTCAAGTCAGAAACACACTCTGATCTCATTCCTGGCCTTTGGCAGGCCCTGCGCAACTGGTGGTAGCCTGGGCTTCACTCCACCCTACAAAGTAAACAGCTTTGGGTTCCACATACGGTTCAAGCTACCATACAATCTGACAGGCTTATAGCCACAGCTGGCTCGAAACTAAAGGAAACTTCCCTAATGTGTGTGCACCAGACCTGATTTCCAACCTAAGACACTGAGTGCAAAGACCCCACAGAGGTTCAGAGTTTTTTTGCCTGCATTCACTTGTCACACTAAGAACTGGCAGTTCCCCAGCATGGACAGAGTGCAACTGTCCCTGAGAGACAGTTGGAAGCAGCCAGCACAGAACGTGATTCAGATAGCAGAAAAGAGCTGGGGCTGGAGCAATAGCACAGCAGGTAGCGCGTTTGCCTTGCACGCAGCCAACCCGGGTTCGATTCCCAGCACCCCATATGGCCCTCTGAGCACCGCCATAGTACAGAGCCAGGCATAACTCTTGTGCATCGCCAGTGTGACCCAAAAAGCCAAAAATAAATAAATAAAATAAAATAAAAAAAGAAAAGAAAAGAGCTGAAAGATGAGTCCCATGCTTTTGAGCCAAGATCCCCGAACTGCTACTGGCAAATGAAAAAATTCTCCCATATGGCAGGAGCAATAGTACATGCTGGCGTACAGCTACATGTCTTACATGTAGCCAACCCTGGTTCAATCCCCAGCATCCCACACGGCCTCTTGAGCATGCTAGGAATGATTCTGAGTACAGACCCAGGAGTAACCCCAGAGCACCACCAGGTGTGACCCCAAAATGAAAGAAACAAACAAATCGTCCCATAGCTGCAAAGATCAGCTTGCAGAAGAGCCATTATTGTGTAATATGACCACAAACTTCAGTTACTGGCCAAGTTCTTGTATACACTAAACCAACTGACAGGTACTGGCAACTGTGAACTCTGGGCTGGAATAGCAGCTAGACCTGATACTACAGTGCACAGGTGACCCAGACTGCCTGCTATGATCCAGGTGCACACAGATCAGAGCCAAAGACAGGTGTTTGACCTTGCAAGCATGTAAGGAATTCTCACAAGATCCGTAACTGCCAGAAGTCAGTAGAGTCACAGGCACTAGCCTAGCACTGTGAATAGGAACACCAGCTCACTGCTCAGGCCAGCTGGAACTTGGAGCTCCCATGAAGCACCAGGAATGATGAAACAAAACAAAGCAAAAGAAGAATAAATTTAGCTGCATCAACAGATGGGGACAGAAACTTAGGAAAGTCTTCAACTATATCAGGACTTTCTACACTGTCTGAGGATGGTTACAGAGCAACAATTGACTCATTGCTTACTGACCTGACGAAATCACTGGAAGAGGGAATCAATAAACTTGAAGAAAGATTGACGTAAAGATTAAAGAACTCATTCAAACAGAAACAAAGGAGCTAATGAATATAGAGTAGGACTCAGCAGAAGAATGGAAGATGCCAAAAACTGAATCTGTGACCTTGATTGAATACAAGGCACAGGACATCATCAATAAAGAAGAGGTAATAGAAAAGAGATTTAAATAAATAGAGACAATTTAAGAAATATATCTGACAAAATCAAGAGGAATGACCTCTCCTTGAAAAAAATTTTAGAAGGGGGAAGAATGGTGGGTGGAAGATATAGTAGCTGAGAATTTCCTCAATCTGAGTGCGGGGTGGAGGTGGGATGAGGGGTGGGAGGATAGGTGATGGGGGGCAGAATTTGTGTACCTAATCCAAAAGGATTTAATAGCAAAAGAATGGCTTTGGGATTTCTTCAAAGTAACTTCTAGGCCGACTTTTAATATGTGCATCTTTGTTGTTTGTTTGTTTTTGGGCCACACCTGGTGGTACCCATGGCTTTCTTCTGGTTCCGCACTTAGGGATCACTCCTGAAGGGGCTCAGGAAACTAAAGGGGGTGACTGGAATAGAACCTGGGTTGGCTGCATGCAAGGCAAGTGCCCTCCCTGCCGTACTATTGCTCCAACCCTATTATGCATCTTCTTGATGCCTGTTCCAGCTGGGTCATCATTGTCCAGTCCCAACATACACACAAGACATGACTTACCACACTGTTGTGTTCTTTTCCAAGTGCACCCTCCATGGCTTAGATGCATAAATGGCCTCTCCATTGACTTCCAGCCACTTCCCCACAGAAAGAAGCCTTTCTTGGAAAATGGGATCAATCACTCCATCTTTAGTTGGTCCAATGTTGAGAAGATAGTTGCCTCCCAAACTTACTGCCTGAACCAGTTCCTGGAGAGAACAGAAATAATGAAATCCTAGCTAAGAATGCAAAGCCTGGTATATCTGTTTCAAACAGATATTGAGAAGGAAAATAAGTAAAGTAAGTAAAGTAAAGGCCCTCCCGTTGATCATCGATTTGCTCGAGCGGGCCCAGTAACGTCTCCATTGGAGACTTTGTTGTTACTGTGTCTGGCATATCGAATACTCTCGGTAGCTTGCCGGGCTCTCCGAGAGGGGCGGAGGAATCGAACTCGGGTCGGCCATGTTGGCTGCGTGCAAGGCAGACGCCCTACCCGCTGTGCTATCGCTCCAGCCCAAGGAAAATAATCTTGGGAAAAATTCTTTCACTGTTATATGAATATCCTTTACCCTTTTTGCTTGTTTGTTTTTGGGTCATACTCAGGGGTTACTCCTGGCTCTCAACTCAGGAATCACTTCTGGAGGGTCTTGGGGGACCATATGGGATGCCAGGGATCAAACCCAGATCAGCCTCATGCAAGGCAAGTGCCCTGCCTATAGTATTATCCAATTATTTATCCTTTTGGGGAAAAAAAATCCTGTTTTTAGCATTATGAAAGCAAGACATGTTTACATTGTTTGCATGAGAAAACAGATATATCCTGCCTACTTGATGAACACATGTTGTTTTTGTTTTGTTTTGGTTTGGTTTTTGGGTCACACCCAGCAATGCTCAGGGGTTACTCCTGGCTCTGTGCTTAGGAATTACTCCTGGTGGTTCTCAGGGGACCATATGGGATGCTGGGGATCAAACCAAGGCAAGGCAAACACCCTACCCACTGTACCATTGCTCTGGCCCCCGATGGACATATGTATTAACCCAAATTCCAGGGAGTGATCATGGGCACTTCCCTGTGGGACTGTCCCTCCATAGTGCTGTATGCTACAGGGGAAGGGCCACTGATCAGAAGTACAAGTGTGAGCAGGGGAGGGGAACAAAGCACTTGGCCATGAAGGTGTCATACAGAGCCCTTCAGAGTGAATTCAGGGAGGAGACAGAAGACTTTGAGTGGCTGCTTTGCAAACTGGTGAGCTGAAAGAAATCTGAGAGTTTATGAGCCACTCTACTTCTGATAGGCCGAAAATGTTTATACTTGCCAGTGAGGCTGGAGCGACAGTACTGGGCACAGGGTGTTTGCCTTGCTAATGGCCAACCTGGCACCACATAAGGTCCCTCGAGCCCCACCAGGGGTGATCCCTGAGCATGGAGCCAGGAGTAAGCCCTGAAACAACACCGAGTGTAGCCCAAAACATCCCCTCAAAATATATACACATACATATATATTGCCTCTTTAGCAAAACAGGCCCTCAAGAGATAAGTCTGGAAGGAGTCTGAAATGGGACGTGTGTGTATGTGTATCTGTTTACTATGAGCACATACACATGGATTTCAAGGCAAATTATGTAGAGAAAAATTTCATAAAGGAGGAAATTTTAGGTAGAGTACTCTAGAGGCATTGCAGGAAATACTATTTAAGTTTCATTTTTTTTTCTTTCCAGTCTTTTTCCTACCCAATTTTCTACCCTTGGATCATGCACCTATTTTACAGTCATAGATATTTTAACACTTAAGGAAAATGAACCAGCCTACTTCATTATTCCTTTATGTTTGTTAAAAAAAAAAAAACAGAAACAAAAAACAACTGAAAACCACTTCTATGCCTAACTGGAAACAGTTTTGGAAGAAACATCTCTGTACATAAAACTTCCTTCTCTGATAATAACAATTTCCTTAGGAAAGGTTTCTGTAAGCACTCAGGAACTCTGCAGGATTCTAGTGAGCTACATTTACATCTGGCCAGTAATGGGCTTCTACCATGTTACTAGTTCACACTTAACAAACGACTGGCTCTCAGGTTTCCCACCGAAATGATTTCAGCCTCGCTTGTAATCTCAGACATCAGCATGTTGCGGCGATAGCCCCAGGAGCGCTTGTCTATGCTGGTGCACATCTCCCACTTGTGAGATGGCGCGGTCTTGGGTCTGAATTTGTCTTCACAGTTGTAGTATCCTCCATGGTGACAGGAACAGTTCAGACCCCATCGGTCATTCACTACCACCTCATCCTAAAGGAGCAAAGAGCACCGGGTCAACATATATAAAACCACTCAACTTCAAACCACAGTCTGATCATTGAAGAGTCTAAGTGGAAGCAAGAAACAGACCACGCCTGGACATTCTGAACTGGTGCCCTTTTATCCCGGATGTGAATTTGGCAAGCTAAAGATTTTTTTTTTTTTTTGGTGGGGAGACTGTAACTGCTATCCAATGGGAAATAGCAAGAGATGCTATTAAATATTTCAGCATAAGCTTTCCTCACACCATTGAAATATCCAGCTCCAAAATGTTATTAGTGCTGATAGGGACTTTAGAAATAGTACAGTGGGTAGGGTGCTTGTCTTGAACATAGCGGACTGCGTTCACTCCCTAACACTCTATATGGTCGCCAGGAGTGATCCCCAAATAAAGAGCCAGGAATAAGCCCTGAGAACCACTGGGTATGGTCCCCAAAAACAAAATAGTACTCATAAACCCTGGTTTACTGATTGGTAATGTCAGCTCTGAAAGGGACTGTTTCAAAGACCATCTAGGAAACCACTTACTCTATTAGAGGAGAAATGAAGAATATCTTTGTCCAAGGTCACATCCCCCAGAGAGTTTTGGAAAGCTACAGCTAGGAGGCAGGGATTAATCAAATATTCTTTTCTTTCTTTTAAGGTCTTGCTAGACTCAGAGATCACATCTTTGTGTAAATGTTTAATTTTACTGTGAGATTTATACTTGGGTGTCCAAGGTAAATAAACACAGTTGCTGCCATTATAAATCCAGCAAAGATGCGTTGAGACATGATTATCACAAAAGAGTTAACTACCTAGAGATGAATGTAAGAGGGGAACTCTGAGCCAACAATATCAGTTTACTTCAAATAAATATTTATTGAAAAGGCAATTGGATGGCATTTAAGATTAAAGACAGAACAACGAATGAGGTCTCAAACCTTGCCTTTACAGAGTTGGAGAGACAACAAAGAAAAATTAGGGAGCTTGCCTGGCACGCAGCCAACCTGGGTTCGATCCCTGGCATCCCAGATGGTCCCCTGAACTCTACCAGGAGTGATCCCTGAGCACAGAGCCAAGAGTAAACCCTGAGCCAGGCCAGGTGTGGTCAAATATCAATCAGTAAGTCAAAACCTTGTCTTCATAGTGAAGAAAAGAGATTTCAAGGGAAACAACATCTGAAATAAATACATTGGGTAAATGGTAATGGGGGAAAAAAAGCAGAGAAAAGCATATGGCATTAGGGAATGGAGTGATACTACAGCAGGTGGGATGTTTACCTTGCATGCGGCCCAACCCGGATTTGATCCCAAGCATCTATATGATTCCCTGAGCACTTCCAGGAGTAATTTCTGAGTGCAGAGCCAGGAGTAACTCCTGAGCATTGTCGGGTGTGGCCCACCTCACCACATACCCCCCGAAACAGCATACAGTATCACAGGGCCAGGGTGCAAGTTCAGGCAGGGTGTTGGGCCAGCTGCATGAAGCTCTTCCAAGCCCTGTGGAAAGTGCAGGTGTGAGCTGTGTAGGATTGCAGTCCCAGGAACAGGGGGCTGTTATCTCCTAAACATCCTTTCCTGATATGTTCTAGGTCCCAAGCAGCCCTCTCAGGCTGAGAAGGCATCACAGCCAGAGTGGGAAAACAGGGTCTGCAGGATTCCATTCCAGAGTCCATGTCTGAGTGACCCCAGTGTGAGGCCCCTAGGAGAGAAGAAGCGCCTCTAGCAGCCTCTGCCCCACAATCTGGCCAGTCCCAAAAAACCACTTTTATCTTGGAGGATCTCTTTCTCTTTAATGTTCTACACCTAACAGTGCTCTGTTCGAAGTTTAGCAACGACTATCCAAAATGATATTTTAATAGTTGTTGTTATTTATTTATTTAGCTTTTTGCTTTTTGGGTCACACCTGGCGGTGCACAGGGGTTCCTCCTGGCTGTGCACTCAGGAGTTACTCCTGGTGGTGCTCAGGGGACCATATGGGCTGCTGGGAATCGAACCCGGGTCGGTCGCGTGCAAGGCAAACGCGCTACCCGCTGTGCTATCTCTCCAGCCCCAGTTGTTGTTATTTTTGGGCCACACCTAGCAGTGCTCAGGGGACCATATGTGATGCTGGGATTCCAACAAGAGTCGTAACTACAGCCACATGCTAGCCAAGTGCCTTAACCTTTGTACTCTCTCCAGCCCCCCATATGTTGTTTATATTCTTATTTATGTTGCTGCTGTCACTATCTTAACACCAGAGGTTAGCTTTCTTTGATCAAAACAGATAAATCAGAGATAAGTCATGCAATCACATACTTTGACTGGGCTGTCATTGTAGAGCCAAGCAAGAAATCCTGTAGAGTTCCAGTAAGAATCAGTACTTTCCCAGTCTCCATCAGACCAAATCAAGTCAGGTCTGTACCTGAAAGACAGGCAATTAGAACAGTTTATTATCTGAATTAATTCACAGTAAAATCTTGTGGATTTATTTGCCTGGGGAAAGCTGGACCATGTGGTACCAAGGATGGAACTGGGGTTGACCGCATGCAATGCAAGTATCTTAACCACCATGCTGTCAAATATACAAACATTGACTTTCTCACATTTTAAAAATACTTCAAATTATCATGGTATAAAGAATACAGAAAAAGAGGCAAAACGACAATAACACACACACACACACACACACACACACACACCTTTTGCTAACATAACTATTGTTTGATATATAGCAATTTGTTCTATTCCTTCCTAATCATTAGTTTTGGTTTGGGGTGATAGACAGTGGTAGTCAGGGGCTACTCCTGGCTGGGTGGTTGGGCTGGATGGTTGGGGGTTCTCATGGTAGTGCTCAGGGGACCATGCATGCAATATTGGGAATTGAACCTGGGCCTTTTGTATGCAAAGCATATGTTTAGTTCATTGAATTATCTCTTCACCTCTCTTCCTAATCCTTTTGTTTTGTGGAAGAGGGGAGGGGGAGGTCAGGGTGGATTTGTGGCTACATCTGGCAGTGCTCTGGGGACGTGATGCAGTGTCAGGAATAGAACCCAGGGCTGCACACAGTGAGCTACACTCCCAGTCCAATTTCTCCCTCATCTTTTTTTTTGGGGGGGTCACATCCAGCAATGCTCAGGGGTTACTCCTGGTGCTACACTCAGGAATTACTCCTGGCAGTGCTGGGGGGGCATATAGGATGCTGGGGATTGAACACAGGTTGGCTGCATGCAAGGCAAATGCCCGACCCACTGTACTCTCCTTCTCCCTCATCTTTCATTTACTGCTTTTAAAATGAACAGAGTGATAGGCTTGCTCTTCAAGCCCATTATTCTCCCTTGAACATTACCTAGATTGCTTGTCTCTATGCATTTTTGCTTGCTTTCCCACCTGGAGATGCACAGTGAACAAGTTCTCTACCTACTTCTCTCTTTCTCTCCTCCCACATCTTCTAAATAAGTTTCAATAAAAGCTCTTTGTTGCTGTTGTTTTTGCACCACACCCAGCTGTGCTCAGGGCTTACTCCTGGCTGTGCATGAAGGGTTCAGGGGACCATATGGGACGTTGGGGATTGTATCTGGTCAGGGGCATGCAAGGCAAATGCCCAACCTGCTGTACTATCTCTCTGGCCCTCAAAGCTATCTGGCTTCACCATTTTTGTTTCTCTTGGAATTCTTTTCTGTGAGAGAAATGTGAAGGATCCAGAATGCCTATGCCGAGGTTAGGACTATTTTTTTTCCTGCAAAGAGCAATTCCTCGCTCCAGCCTGAGTCCTCTGTTCCCCAAGAAATCGGGACAGATGTCATCTCCCATGACACCGTGCAGAGCAAATGGACTCCAGGCGCAGCTTTAAGGCTGCCTTATTGGGTTGGCAGGACATGGGCATCCATTCCATGAGATGCTCACAGCAGACTTCACTAGTCCTGACCCAAGTCAGGCATTTATTTCCCAGGGCACTGGTGGCTGAGGTAGGTTGGGCAGAAAGGTAGAAGCACTCTTTTCTTGAGCCTACTACCTCACTCCCACTTTTCTGAGCCAAAGGCAACAACTGGGTCGGATGCATGAAAGGCAAGCACCCTACCCACTAGTCTATCTCTCCAGCCCCACAATTACATCTCAATAAATATGGAGAAAGAAAAAGTTGAAATAGTAATCTATCCATCTATTTATGATTTGATTTACTTCTCGCAACTAATTTGGCTTAGAGTGAGGTTTCTGAGTTTAATGTATACTAAGAGCTTGAACTGTTCTACCAAATTATTTTTTTATGGGGGGGGGAAATGGGAAGGTGGTAGCTACCCAAAACTTCAATTCTGTAAGATCTACTTAATCCACTTAAGCCACCATTGCACCTTTTTATACATAGTTAATTAAAAAGTGTACATATGTATACCTGCAAGGTAAACACTATTCTTCCAATTTTATTTTGTGCCTGGTGGTGTTAGAGAGGCCATACAGTACTGGACATCAACCCAGGACCCTGTGCATGCCAGCCCTTAGGGTTAACTCTCTGCCCCTTCTTCCCATTTTAAAGAGTGAGTATCAAAAGTTCCTGGGGGAACTGGAGCAATAGCACAGCGGGTAGGGTGTCTGCCTTGCATGAGGCCAACCGGAGTTCAATTCCCAGCATCCCATATGGTCCCTCGAGCACTGCCAGGAGTAATTCCTGAGTACATGAGCCAGAAGTAACCCCTGTGCATCGCCAGGTGTGACCCAAAAACCAAACCAAACAAAACAAAAGCTTACAGGGGGCATATTGCACAGGGGCATGAAAGAACTTGTCAGTAATGGGATCTGCAACTCACACTCATCTGATGTCAAATCCTGTGCTGTAACTGAGTAATTAGCAAGCAGGTGCACTTCAAGGAAAAGACTGGCTGAGTGGCCAGACATAGCACAGGGGATCTGCTTCCCCAAGTATGCATGTGAAACTCTGCTTGGTACTTTATGTTCATTGGTTCACACACAATGCTATGCTATATATTATCCACAAGTTTGCAAAAAAAAAAAAAAAAGAAAAAAGAAAAGAAAAAGGAAAGGAAAGAAAAAGATTTTAAAAATTGTGACTAGTTCAAGGCCATAGAGCTGGCAATAAAGGAACTGGGTGGGGCAGGGAGACAGTGCAAAGGGCTGAAATTCATGCCTTGCATGTATAACGTCTGGATTTAACACCCAGTATCTCATCATTCCCTGAGAACCACTGGATCCCCACTAACAACAATAACAACAGCAACAACAAAAGGAACAAAGAACAGAATTTCAGATTTAGTTCTGATTTCTTATTTTTTAGGGGCCACACCTGGCAGTGCTAAGGGGCTACACCAGGCTCAGTGGTTGGGGGTTTCTCCTGGTGGTGCCTCGGGACTATGCAGTCCCAGGTATGGAATCTGGGCTCCTGTATGCTAAGCATGTGCTCCAACCTGACAGCCTCTAACATTCAGATTCAGTTCTTTCTGATTGCAAACCTCTGCGAGTTACTGACAACTGTAACTATTTATTTAGATAAGTCATCTTTCCCCCCTTCCTTCTATCTTTCCTTTCTTCTTTCCTTTTTTATATCCACTAGTGCCAAATTTCAAGCTGAGAGTGATCATTTTAAGAATAGTAGCCCTATTTTGTTCGTTTCAGCCGTGCTGGTGGTGCCAGGGCTGGGACACAGGCTCTCACACCTATTCTTTATTACTGAGATACATCCATAGCCCAACACCCTTATGCTGTACCAGGCTTTGTGATGGAGACTATTCACATATTATTCTGAGCAGGGTATAAAATAAAGTTATTTATTTATTGTCTGGGTTTTTGGGCCACATCCAGTGACTTTCAGGGCTTACTCTTGGCTCTGCACTCAGGGATCACTCCTTGTGGGATTAGGGGATCAAGGGGGTGCCAAGGATTGAACCTGGGTTGGCTGCATGCAAGGCAAGTTCTCTACCTACTATACTATCTCTCCAGCCAGTATTCTCACTTTAGATAGATACTGAAGCTCAGAAGGGTTATCTTGTTTTGTTTTGTATTTGCTTTTTGGGTCATACCCAGCAATGCACAGGGGTTACTCCTGGCTCATGCACTCAGGAATTACTCCTGGCTGTGCTCGGGGGACCATATGGATGCTGGGAATCAAACCTGGGTTTGGCTGCGTGCAAGGCAAATGCCCTACCCGCTGTGCTATAGCTCTAGCCCCGGATTATCTTTCTAAGACTGAGAAAACAAAAACAAAAACTGAGAAATAACAAGGGTCAGAATTCAAAGGGGGGACCTGTTGACACTGAATCATTTGCAAGGTTCATTAGTCTGAGTTGCTCTTCTGCCAAGTTCTGACAAAGAAAACAGCATGCAAGGAAGGAATAAAATTACCCCCACACGCCCTGTGTGGTTTGGTTTGGTTTCTTTTTGAGTCATACCCAGCGGTGCTCAGGGTTTATTCCTGGTTCTATTCTCAGGGATCACTCCTCGAAGGCTCATAAGACCATATGGAGTGTGGGGGATTGAACCTGGGTTGGCTGCACGCAAGGCAAATACCCTGCCCACTGTACTATCAATCCAGCCCTAGAGCAAAATTTACTTTACCAAGTTTGACTAGTTTAGTATAAAGGCAATATAGCCATATTATAAAAATTCTGGCAAGTAGGAGAGAAAAATGATCTTATTTGGATACAATATCACTTTTATTATATTAATATCTTGTGGGCTCCTCTCTCCAGCCCCATAGTTCACCCTATTTCTCTTCCTTCCAAGTTAACAGTATCATCCCACAGAAAATTCGGATTTAACTGAACAACATTTTAAGGCCCAAACTCTCCTGTTTTTTTTTTTACCTGTTAACAAGGTCATATATTTACCTGATTACAAGGTCGTATAGCTCTGGCATTGTTTTTTCTTTAACAAAAAACTGTGTTTTGAAGTTATTTTTCTTATCAAGTAGGTAAAGTGGATGGAACCATTCTAAGAGTGAGTGGTAGACTCCATACCGCATGTTCCTTAAACAGAAAAACAGGACAGCGACTGTCATTTAAGAAAAATACCCCATTTTAACAAAAATTAATTTTTAAAAAAAATTTTTATTAGTGAGACACTATGAGACACAGTTGTAGACTTACAATTTTTTGTGCTTGGGTTTCAATTATACAATGATCAAATACCCATCCCTCCACCAGTGCCCATTTCTCACCACCATGGATCCCAGTATCCCTCCCACCCCCCATTCCCCCATCTCACCCTGCCTCTGTGGCAGGGCATTCCCTAACAAAAATTAATTTTAACACATTGAGGAGGTGGGATCCAATACCATTTCCTTAAATTATTTCTTATTTAGCTACATAAACAAAATGACTTGATTTACGATACTTTTGCTAATACACATAACTACTTTTTTTTGTGGTCGCACCTGGGGGTATTTGGGGACTATTCCTGGCTCTGTGCTCAGGAGTGATCCCTGGTAGTTCTCAGGGGACCAGGGATGTGGTGCCCCAGGGATTCAAGCAAATGCCTATACTATCTCTCCAGCCTCCACAGAACTACTAAAAAAAATAATTAAAAAACATTTTAGGCACACCATGATTTATTTATTTATTTGTTTTTGGATGACACCCGATGATGCTCAGGGGTTACTCCTGGCCCTGCACTCAGAGATCTTGTAAGGTTCAGAGGATCAATATGGGATGCCTTGGATTCAACCTGGACAGGCTGCATGCAACAGGCAGATGCAACCCACCATCCTATCTCTCTGGCCCCTACACACCACGATTTAAACCAGAGTATCACACTCCCCTCAGCCCACCATCCCTATACCTTTTTTGTCTGTTTTGGGCCACAACTGGCAGTGCCCAGGGCTCAGCTCTGAGCCCTGTGCTCAGGGCTCACTCCTGGTGGGACTTGGGGGACCAGACGGTGTGCTGGGAATCAAACCCAGATTGGCTGTGTGCAAGCCAATACCCTACCTACTGTAACTATCTCTCCAGCCCCTATTGTTTATTTTTTCCTTAATATTTACTAAGTTTTGCCAGAATGACCGACCCAGGCTCAATCTCCAGCACCCCATATGGTCCTCCAAGTCTGCCAGGAATGATCCCTGCATGCACAGCCAGGAAGAAGCCCTGAGCAATGTGGGCTGTGGCCCCAAACCAAAAATATTTATTAAAAATTTTTCACTCTGAATTTTAGGCCACATATGGCAGTGCCGGAGGGGGAGGCTACTCCCAGCTCTCTACTTGGGGGACGCTTCCAGTGGTGCTCTGGGGGCCACACAGTGCTGGGTACAGAATTTAGTTCTCCTGCACACAAAGCTAAGTCTCCATACTTTGATACATCTCCTTGGCCCAATCATAGTTCTTTAAAAAATGTAGTTAATCTATTTTTAATAAAATAAAATGTGCTTTGGGATTTTTGAGGCGGTGTCTTTTTTTTTTTTTAATCCAGGAGTACTCAGAGACTATTTGTAGCATAGAGATGATAGTTGCTCCCAGTGGTACCTGGCAGAGCTGAGAATCAAACCTAGTGTTCCTATATGCAAGTATGTGCTCCGGCCCCTTAAGCTTTCTACTTGCCCCATTAGAGAGTGTTTTGAGCTAAGAATGGGGAGTATCAGGCCAGAGAGATAGTACAGGGGGCAGGGCACTTACTTGCCTTGTGACTGACTTGGGTCCAATTCACAGTATCGCATATGCACGCCATCCCCCCTACCCTGCCCCAAAAGGTGAGTATTTTGAAAGAACTATTATGCAAGTAAGAAATGAGGGTAAAATTGCAATGACACAGATAAGGCAGAAAGAACTACAGTTAAGTACTTCATCATATGACTTGGGTAATAACCAGCTACACAGAAGATAAAAGACAACTACCAGTCCAGATCTAATCAACATCTCAAATTTTATGTAGGGTTACTTTTGGGACATCTGGCAGTGCTCAGGAGTTACTCCTAAAAGAGAGGGCAGAGTAACAGGAACTGGAGACACACACCTCTTACGCACGGCTTTTTCCAACTCACCAACCAAATCACGATGGGGTCCCACATCCATTGAGTTCCAGTTCCAAGAAACAGAACTCGGCCAGTTGGTGAAGCCTTCGTGATGCTTTGTTGTCAGGACCACATACCTGGAGACATGGAGACCAGGTGGGTGAAGGAAGGAGGAACTGAGCCCTGAGCATGAACCTCCCCATTGGAAGATGGTTGGGAGGGGCTGGTGAGACAGTACAGGGGTTAAGGTCATGCCGAGCATATGGCCTCCCTGCTACAACCTGGTCCTCTGAGTATTGCTGGCTGTATTCCTGGAGGGTCCCCAAGCACTGCTGGAATGATCTGGGTAATCCCTGGCACTGCAGGGCCAGACCAGCACCACATTCCTGGGGCCCTTACACTTGAACTATAGCTTGGTGGTGGTAGGCACTTTCAACCCTCCAATCACCCCTCTACCCCCCACCCACAGTACTACTTAAGAGGGGGAAAAAAAGGCCCAACAAGAAAATAGGTTGAAACTATGTGTCTAAGAAGAAAAAGAAAATAGGTTGAGAGAGATAGAAATCTTTTTGCTTGGGTGCCTACAATAAGAACACCTAGAGTGCAGTGAGCATCCTCTCCAGCTGAGGGGGAGGAGCAAAGGGAAGAGATTTCTGGTCTTTCAAAGCTGCTGCTGGGTACTGAAAGTCACAGACTGTTATGGGGAACTTTAAGACTCTTTTTTTTGGGGGGGGGAGTTGCACCCTGCCATGCTCAGGGGTTATTCCTCGCTCTGCACTCAGAAATCACTCTTGTCGGTGCTTGGGGGATTTGTATGGGACAGCTGGAGCGATAGCACAGCGGTAGGGCGTTTGCCTTGCACGCAGCCAACATGGCCGACCCGAGTTCGATTCCTCCGCCCCTCTCGGAGAGCCCGGCAAGCTACTGAGAGTATCTCGCCCGCGCGGCAGAGCCTGGCAAGCTACCCGTGACGTATTCGATATGCCAAACACAGTAACAACAAAGTCTCCAATGGAGACGTTACTGGGCCCGCTCGAGCAAATCGACGAACAACGGGAGGGCCTTTACCTTATATGGGACACCAAGGATTGAACCCAGGTTGGTGGCATGCAAGGCAAGCGCCTTACCTGTTGTACTATCACTGTAGCCTGCAAACTTTAAGATTTTAAAAGACAGATATTAGAAGGGATGGAGTGATAGTACAGCGACAGGTCAGTCTCCTTGCATGTGGCCGACCTAGGTTCATTCCAAGCACTGCATATGGTCCCCTGAGTTGCCAGGAGTGATCGCTGAGCACAGAGCCAAGAGTAACTCCTGAGTACAGCTGGGTGTGGCCCAAAAACCAAATCAAAACTACCCCCCCCCAAAAAAAACTAAACTAAAACTCAACCCATGTGTTGATGAGGGGCCAGTAAGATAACTCAAAGGGATGGAGTACAAGCACTGCATATGAAAGGCCACGTTCCATACTGGGCACCACTTGATGTGGCCACAAAAGCAAAACGAAACAGAGGGTGGATGACCCAGGCAATCTGGTGCAGAGTGATAAGAACCTACAGCTGAGAGTCAAGTTTTCGGGCTTAGAGTGTTAAACTTCTTTCTGGGGCAGTTATCTTGCTCAGGCAAGGACGTCTCTATGATCTTAATTTCTTTTTAATTTGTAAATTATGGCTCTTCAAAGCTAGTAAAAGACAGAGAATACCTTCCCCTGTTTACAACACCAATGTCAGCTCTGCTTCCAGGAAGAAACAAGGAGACAAGGTGAGGGTAGACAGTATCTCCCTGCCTCCATCCTTACTCTCCTCCAACCCCCTTCCTCCCAGAAGCCACACTCATCCTTCGAGAAGCATCACTTCCTAACTCAACCCCTGGCAACCCCCCTCAAGGAACTTTCTCTCCTTCAGGAGAGGCTGTTTTCTCCAGCCCTGTAGGCTATACTTGTCCATTCTCAAATACCCACAGGTAAGCTCCATCCTTTGGAACATGTCTGAAGCACCATGTGTGGGGTGATTTGGCGGGCATAGGGATGCCACTCTGTACTGGGGCCCCTCTCCCAGCACACCAGGAAAAAAAAAGAGCTGGTGGAGCACTTATTTGCCCTGCACAAATGAGGCCCTGGGCTTAAAAATCCCAGCAAGGCAGAAATCAGACAGAAAGAAACTACTTTAACCCCCCCCCCACCCCCACCCCCTCCTATAACCACGGGAGGAAGCTGAAGCATTTGGGCTGAAATTCACAGTGCAACCGGGATCACGGGCTTCAAGTCATGGGATCCTGAGAGTCCTGCCTTGCAAAGGGACATTAGGCGTCCCGTAGCGCAATCCTCTCCGCGTTGAGGGCTACCAGGACCACCAACTCCCGGAAACTTATTTTCTTGCAGTCCCCAGGCACACCCGCGTGCGCTCAGATACCTCCCGATTCGCGTCTGCAGCCCCCCGGGAAGGGCCCTGGGACACGAGGCAGAGCGGGCGTGCGGCTCCGTGAGCCCAACGCCGGCCCGGGCCAGCGTGGCCGGGCAGGGGCGCCCCAGCCGTCCCGCGGGGACACTCACTTGGCCCCCGCCGCCTGGAAGAGGCTGGCCCAGGCTTCGGGGTCGAAGAAGCTCGCCGTGAACAGCGGCCCGAATTCGGCGTAGCTGAAGCCGGGCGGGTAATTGTCGCGCATGAACCGCTGGTACTGTGACTTGGCATCGCCCTTCCAGTGCCACCAGAACCACTCGCTGCCCCAGGCCGGTACCGAGAACACGCCCCAGTGCACAAACACCCCGAACTTGGCCTCATCGAACCAGAGGGGCAGCGGCCGGGAGTCCAGACTCGTCCAGTCCGGGGTGTACTGGATCTCAGGCTGGGCTGGGACCCGGGCCGGAAGCACCAAGCCGGCGGTCCAGAGCAGCAGTAGCCGGGAGCCCACAGCCCAAGGCCTCACGCCGCGACACCCCATAGCGGCCACTGGGACGCCACCGCTCCCCCGGAACTCGCCAGTGCGGGCTGGCCACGCCCACTTAGAGATGATTGGTTCGCAAGGAAAAGGGGCGGGTCAATCCAGGCTGCTAGGTTACCGTGTCCCGGCTCTCTAGGGCGACCCTGCTGCGCCCTCTGGTGCTCAAAAGGTAGTAAGGCACAAGGAGGCGTTGACAGCGCGGAGAGAGGATGGACCAAAGAGAATTTCCTAGGAACTTCATTGCAGGGGTTAAATATCGGAAGCGGCCATCGTGTTCTATCTATAGTCTATTTTCAGCGCGCATCTCGCATCCCTCCAAACACCCTTTACTTATTGCAAACCACAATACCCTGAAGGAAAGAGAGAGCAAAAGGGAATGCCCTGCCACAGAGGTGGGGCGCGGGGGGGGGGGTGGGGGGGGGCGGGGGGAGGGGGGGAGGGCTACTGTGATCATTGGTGGAGAATGGGCACTGGTAGAGGGTTGGGTACTCGATCATTGTATAACTGAAAACCAAGCACGGAAAGTTTGTAAGTCTACAACTGTACCTCATGGTGTTTCACTAATAAAAGAATAATAATTCTTTTATTCTAATAATTTTAAAAGACAGAAACAAAAAATATCGGAAGCGAGGGAAGTCCGACGTGTACAGAGAACTGGAAGCAGTTGCTTTTGCTCTTTGCAGCCATTATAAGACTTTTGAGAAGTAGTTTGAAAGAGCAGGCCTGGTGGTAGGAATACAAAATGAAAGGGCATTATAAACAGCCCTAGATGATTAAGTGGGCTAGAGGGGGGCATGAGGGGAGGCATTGTTGGGGGAGAGGGAGGGAAAAAGGGGGAAAGTGGGTGCTGAATTTTTAGGTTAAGGATTCCTTAAATATTTCCTCGGTGTCAATTTGTGTGAGGCATTTGGGCCATTCCTTTGCTAACACAAGAAAAGACCCACCAATGAATAAAAAGGCATGTTCTGTCAGAGAGGAACTGTTGGTATATAGCTCTAAACATTTTAAATTTAACATTGGTTTGTCCTTTCTCCTCCACCCTTGCCGCAAGGAGTTTAGGCTTATTGGGTTACACCCATCATAGTTCTCCCATTCCTCTGTGTTTATCTTTAACTTCTCTGTGCTCTCTTCCCTATCTGTTAATCACCTATCTCCCCAAATCAGACCCTATTATGACTTGTAAGGTCAGATTCTTCTAAGGACTCTGAATTTTGTATTTGTAAGTGAAATATTGCTTTTCTCTTTCCCTTATATCTTTTGCATAGTTTATTTTAGAGCAATATAGGAAGATAGTTACTGTGCCCATACAAAATGACCAATATTATTAAGAAGTAGAATTAAGATGAATGTTTAAATGATTATTTTAAGGTAAGGAGAAATACACCCCTAGATGGTATTTTGCCCTTAGGTGGATCATCTTGCTGGATGAGAATTTGTCCTAGAAGATGCTTCCCCTGAGGGAAGGACTTCACATTTGTTGATTGTATAACCATACCTATGTGTAATTGCAATCCCAATTCCTCATGATTTTGGAATATAACTAAGGCTGTAAGAGTGGGCGCAGAAAGGAGGAATAGAGGAGGAATACAAAAGTGGGTGAGACTGAAAGGAGGCAAAGGGAGACTGGAATAACCTGCAACTGATCACCAACCACCAGGCCCCTGTTTTCTCTTTCATCCACCCATTGCCCTCAGCCATCCTGGGTGATGGAAAGTGGACCCAGACCACTGAATGCAGGCGGCAGGAGAGCTCTGTGGTTTCTTATCTATTTTGTGATTACACACGGAACAATATATGCAATATATGGGATATAAAGAAACATAGTAAGGGGATAACAAATAGCCAAAGGAAACAGAACCCAAGAACTGATCTACAGAACTGAGCTTACCATGGTGGGGGACAAGGAGTGGGGGGGTTGTGAGGGGACGCTCTGTTGGAAGGTGTCTTATTAGAACCTGGTATGCATGAAACATTATCATTTACAGTGATGTCAGTGGGCCCCACATGTGACTTCTGTGAAGCAGAGGGGATAAAGAAGGTCACTTTCTCCCACTCCGCTTCTGCCACCTGGGACCCGCTGGGAAGATTAGGACTGGTAAAGTCTATGATAGCCCCTGCTCGGCATGGGCCTGAGCCCTGACAGCCCGATAAGGTGATTACACCCGAAGTCCACTTGGTCTGCCAGGCACAGGAGTTGATCCCCACTACCCGATTTCTCGGGGAGCCATGGATTCAGGCTGGAGCAAGAATTTACTCTTTGCAGGAAAGGAGAAACCAGTCCCAGGCTTTACTCAGGGTCTAGTACTATAAATCTTGGTGCCTCAGAAAAAAAAACGGGGGTAGCATTTCCTACTTTAAGAACCAATAACATGTAGACACACAAAATCTAAAATTCTGGGCTGGGAGATAGCTCAAAGGGTTGGAGCACATGCTTTGTATGGGAGCCCCAGCTTTGATCCCTGGAATGGTGTGGTCCCTGAGCACTGCACTGGGAGTGGTTCTCAGAACCACTGGGTGTGGCTGAAGAAACACACACAAAAAACCAAATTTATGCCATTTGTTTGCCATCTTTTATAAAAATATTGTTTTAACATAAAATTTCAGGAGGTTACGGAAAAGGCAAAGTGTGTTTATTTGTTTTTGTATTTTTGTTTGGGGGCCATTTCTGGCAATGCTCAGGGCTTACTCTTGGCTCTATGCTCAGAGATAGCTCCTGGCAGGGTTTGAGGGGACCATATGGGGTCCTGGGGATTGACCCCAGGTTGGCCGTAGGACCCCAGCCAATTGTATTATCTCTCCAGCCTCAAAGCATGTTTATTTGCAATTGAAGAATTGTCATTTGGGGTACACAGAATCAGCTAGAAACCTAAATGCACCTTTGGAGGGATAAAAGTTGGGGATCTTCAGGAGAATGAAAGAGGAGGAGGCAGAGATCGCTTCTGGCAGGCTCAAGGGCCTTATGAAGTGCTGGCATCAAACCTGGGTTGGACCCCTCCCCACTGTCCTATTTCTCCGGTCCCTTATTTTAGTTAGACATCTATATGAGAAAATTCATTGCCCACATTCTGGCGATTGAAACATAACATTCTATAATTTTTAAATTGTATAAAAATTTAGAAGAAAAAGTTGAAATAGTGATTTTTCTGCCTGTAAATCACCCCCTGCCCCCACAATAGAATAGTTCAGTGTGAAAGAATTGCACTCTGTCTTTTTTAATGTCAAGAGATGAAATATTCAAAATGAAACTGTGATTCAATTTTGACATATTAAAAACATGATAGCAATTACTTGCCTTTAGGATATTTTTCCATTGAAAATAACTGATACTCAAATTCACACTGTATACCAAAACGTCGTCTAATTATCACCTAATTCACTGCTTAGTTTTGAATGTTTTGGAAATAAGAATCAAGTTAATCGAAGAAATCTACTCAACATATAAAATTGTCAAATGAAACAGTGAAAATGCACCAAGGGATAAACAAAGAGAGGTACTATATGGTACTTTTATTATAGTCAGAGAACATTCTTTTTAAGATTTCAGTTCTTTTCAATCTATTAAGGTTCAGGGGCCATATGTGGTGCTCAGGAGTGAACCCAGGTAGGCCATGTACAAGACAAGTACCCCACCCCTAACTAGCTCTTTGAGCCTTTCAAACAATAGTCTAATTTTGCAGACTTTCCCCAAATTTGTAATTGCCTTATATTTCCATACGCTTAGATCAGGTCATATATTTTTGACAAAAATACTGTATAAATGTTAATTTGTTCTTTTTGGTATATTCTATGAGAAGGCATGTAGCAATTTGCTCCATTACTTATGATTTTAATTTGTTTATTTGGTCAATATGTTATCTGCCTAATGCACTGTAAATTACTATTTTTAGTTTCAGAAAAATATAGTTGAATAAATTCTTGACTTGCAAAAAAATAAAAAAGAAGAAGAAAGAAGAGGAGGATATAGGTGGTTTTGAAAAAAAGCTTGAACTATCCTTGGTTATATAGAATTGCTCACTGTCAACTGAAATAATCACCACTGTAAAGAAAATTCAAAGTTAAATCAAAGTTCATGAGTGGCATGAGGTTGCAGAGGTATCAATAATAATAATAATAATAAATTTTAAGAAAAGATATTGTTCCAAGGAACAAGGAAAATAGTCCGGCAGATAGACTGATTGCCTGGAGTGTACCTGACCTGGATTTAATTCCTGGCACCACATGGTTCCTCATGCATTGCTGAGTGCAGCCCAGATGTACCCAGCACCATCTTTGTGGTCTGATATCCCTGGCCCACTGGGCTGGAGAAGCTTTACATACTGGGATCTTGTACTGAACTGCTGGCCAGTTTGGCTGAGAATCCCTGTGGGGCTCCTGGACCTCTGGAGCATCATATGGGAACATTGCTGACCAATGCGAACACACAAAGGAAGACATTGTTCTGAGTCTTACTGAGAACCCAGGTACCAGGAAACAGCTATCAGATTTCTCGGCACAGGTGACCATTCTTCAGAAGTTTGATTCCAGTTTATGTGCGTGCAATTTGTGCAGATAGGCTTCCCGCATGAAAGAGTATATAATCCTTCTATAAAAAATTTTAAAGTTGGGGGCTGGAGCGATAGTACAGAGGGTAGGGTGTTTGCCTTGCATGCGGCCGACCCGAATTTGATTCCCAGCATCCCATATGGTCCCCCGAGCACCACCAGGAGTAATTCCTGAGTGCAAAGCCAGGAGTAACCCCTGAGCATCGCTAGGTGTGACCCAAAATGCCAAAAAACAAACAAAAAAAACAAAAAAAAATTAAGACCACCTCTGGTTAAATCCTAATCTTTTCAGTTAATGACAGGGAGGAATGCTGTGTTTAACTTCTAAATGACCCATTAACCTACAGTCAGATGCTATCTATGTGCAGAAAGAGGTGAGGATTAAGGTCACTAAATCTGTTACTCAAAGATTTCTCAGAAGAGTAAGAACTGAGCTGCCGTATGAAAAAGCAGTCCCATTTCTAGGTA